TTTATTTATTTATTTATTTATTAGAGACAGAGAGCACGAGCTGGGGAGGGGGCAGAGGGAGAGAGAGAGAGAGAGAGAGAGAGAGAGAGAGGGATGGAGGGAGGGAGTCTCCAGCAGGCTCCACGATGGAGCCCGAAGCAGGGCTCTATCCCACCCACAACCCTGGGTTCGTGACCTGAGCTGAAATGAAGAGTCAGACACTCAGCCCTGGGAGACACTCGGGGCCCGCCCCTTTTTACGTAGGTTGCATGCCCAGTGGTGGGGCTTGAACTCATGACCCTGAGATCAAGAGTCTGCCGCTCTTCCTACGGAGCCACCCAGGCGCCCCCTCCTAAATACTACTGTGTATTTCTTAAAACCGACAACATTCTCTGCAAATGTGTCAACATCGGCAAAGTACCGTAGATGAAACACATTATTCAGTCCACCCACTTCATTCAGATCTTCCCAGTTCTCCGGCTTGTCCTCTGTAGTAAAAATGATCCGGTCCGGGATCCCATCCAGGACCACCTGCTGCGTTTCACCTGCCCGTGACCCTTCAGACTCCTTTAATCCGGGTCAATCTTAACCCACCTTTCTTGGTCCTTCCCAACGTTGACATTCTGTAGAGCTGGGACCTGTCGTTTTGTGGGACATCCCTTCTACAGAAGGACTTGGTTACTCCTTCTTCCTCAGATTCAGTCTATGCATCCGTGGCAGGAACACCTGGGAAGTGACACTGTGTTCTCCTCGTTGATCCTATCAGAGGCAGGCGATTTTGCATTTTCTTCCGATGGTGATGGCTAATTTTGATCACCAAGTGTCTCTAGTGTTAAGTAAGGTTACTATTTCTCCCTTTGTGCGGGGAGATTCTGTGAAACAATATGAATAGCCCATTGCTCGTATAGTACGCGGATGACGCTTGCCCGAGTCAAATTACTATAATGATTGCCAAATAGTGAGTTTTCAACTCTATAATTCCCTCTGCATTTATTAGTCAGCGTTTTACCATAAAGTTGTTCCCCTCTTCCTTACTATTTACTTATGCCAGTACGGATGCATGGATTTCTCTTTTATTCAGTGGGAACCATTAACTTATTTTATGCTCACATCGTCCCACGCAAGCGGGGGAGGGAGAGAAAGAAAGGGGGACAGAGGAACCGAAGCACTGACAGCAGCAACCCCAACGCGGGGCTCGAACTCACCAACCGAGAGATCCTGACCTGAGCCGAAGTCGGACTCTTGACCGACTGAGCCACCCGGGTGCCCCAAGAGCACACTCTTACTTCTGGTACGAGATGTTCCAGCCGCTTTATATTCGTAGACCCTTCCTTTCTCCACGAGAACCCCGGCTCCCAACAAAATTATATTTAGTCCTTTGCTCGCTGCTGCAATCCACATGGGCTTGTTTGACCAGAATGACAGCTCCTGCACCATTATTAACAATCAACCTGCAAATTCATTAAGTCACATTTTAAGCTTTCTTTGCAATTTTTTCTTCTCCTTTTGGACTGAAGGCAGTAAAATACTGTAACTAAAAGTTACTTGGAATTTTTCTTTTCCAGTTTCTCTTTAATACGGTTGTTACCCATTTGACAGATAGTGAGGTTCATTTGTTTTTGTTTCCAATTTGAAGTTAAAAACAAAATCCTGGGGTGCCCGGGTGACTCAGTCGGTTAAACATCTGACTCTTGATTTCAGCTCAGGTCATGATCTCACAGTTCCGTGGGTTCCAGCCCCATTTCGGGCTCTATGCTGACAGCTCAGGGCGTGCGTGGGATTTTCTGTTCTTCTCTGTCCCTCCCCCACTTGCTCTCTCTCTCTCTTTCTCTCTCTCTCTCAAAAATATATAAACATTAACAAATTTTTTAATCATTGTTGGTCTAATTTTTTTATTTTTTTAAAAATGTTTATTTTTGAGAGAGGGAGAGAGAGACAGAGCATGAGTGGGGGAGGGACAGAGAGAGAGAGGGAGACACAGAATCTGAAGCAGGCTCCAGGCTCCAAGCCGTCAGCACAGGACCCGATGTGGGGCTCGAACTCACGGCCGCGAGATCATGACCTGAGCCTAAGTTGGACGCTTACCGACCGAGCCACCCAGGCGCCTCTTAATTTTATTTTTAAATGTGCCATATGTTAACATATTTGATGCAATCGATCATCAAACTTTCTAGAAAGATATGTTCAAAGGCTCATTCTGATTTATCTTTTCTGTATTTCTCTTTGTAAAAAAAAAAGGGGATGCCTGGCTGGCTCAGTCAGAGGACTGAGCGACTCTTGATCTCGTGGTCGTGGATTCCGGCCCCATGTGGGTGTAGAGATTACTTAAAAATAAAATATTTAAAAAGAAAGAAAGGAAGAAACAGAGGAAGGAAGGGAGGGAGAAGAAAAATGTATAAATATTTTCTTGAGGTGCCTGGCTGGTTCATCAGAGGAATATGAGACTCTTAATCTTAGGATAGTGAGTTCGAACCCCACGTGGGGTATAGAGATTACTTAAGTAAATAAAAGTTTAGGGGCACCTGGGTGGCTTGGTCGGTTAAGCGTCCGACTTCAGCTCAGGTCATGATCTCACGGTCCGTGAGTTCGAGCCCCACGTTGGGCTCTGTGCTGACAGCTCAGAGCCTGGAGCCTGTTTCCGATTCTGTGTCTCCCTCTCTCTCTGCTCCTCCCCTGTTCATGCTCTGTCTCTCTCTGTCTCAAAAATAAATAAATGTTTAAAAAAAAAGAAACATTAAAAAATAATAATAAATAAAACTTTAAAATATATATGCATTTTTTCTTATTTTTCCTTCTTTACACAGACAATAAACAAAGTTATATGATGACATATGCTATACCTGCCTTTTCCCCATGATCCTATAATATCACAGAGTTCCCTCCAAATTAGTTCATTAAGTCTGTCCCATTTTTTTTTTTACATGTATATAAGAGTCCGTTGTGTGACTGCACCATTGTGTCTTCAAACAACCATTTTGATTGTTTTCACTAACTGGCAATTACCTAATGACCCTGCCCTGATGTTGTTATAAGTAAAGTCGACACTTCTTTGTATGTTTAGGGTTACATATATATGTGTGGGTGTATAACCGTGAACTTTTCATGCCTTTTGCTCATGTTTCTATCACACTGTTTGTCTTTTTACTTTCACTTTTTAAAAAGTTCTTTAAAGGATTTTTTTTGAAGTTTATTCATTTATTGAAGTCATCTCTATGCCCAGCGTGGGGCTTGAACTCACGACCCCCAGATCAAGAGTCACAGGCTCTGCTGACTAAGCCGGCCAGGCGCCCCTAGTGTTTTCCTCGTTTGATGTAAAATTTATGTAAAATGAAATCCACCAGACTTAGAGACATTTGCCGAGTTTTGAAGGTACATGTCCCTGTGTAACCCAAATCCTCGCCAAGATATAGATTGTTACCAGGGGCGCCTGGGTGGCTCAGTCCGTTAGCCGTCTGACTTCGGCTCAGGTCATGATCTCACGGTTCGTGGGTTCGAGCCCCACGTCGGGCTCTGTGCTGACAGCTCGGAGCCTGG